ACAGGGGTGAGCAGCTAAGCAGTTTGTTGTTAGCAGCCTTTTCAACAACCCTTTCAGACTGAGTAAATATTGATCGGTTTGAATCTGATTGCCCCAGAGGAAAACACCACCGCATCTGAATAGCCTCCAAAAGTAAACTTTCAAAGGTGAAGCCCAGAGCAGACTTCGAGTTGCAGCAAAGCCTGAACTCACCCTAGTTTGTTGCCCTGAATGTGAGGAGCACTTTGGTTGGATATAGAGAAAGTGAATAAAAAGGATTTGAAAGCTAAGTTTTATACTGCAATTATCCAGTCCATACTTGGGACCCTGATTTCTTCTTAAACTTATCAATGAAATGTTATTTTCTATTTTCCTTTCTTAGTATTGTTTCAGTTAAAGTTGCTTTCATTAAGGAGCTAACTGTGCTCCCCAGAGACCAAAACAGAAAAAGAGAGACCTTGAAATAGAATGTGTTAAATGCCTTTGATTTAATCGATTGGGACAGCTAAAAAGATACAAATGTTTTCCTTGTTGAAAGGCATATTAATGTTTCCTAAATGCATTGCTTGTTAACTGATTTATTCCATGACATAAAGAAGGCTAGGGTTTAGGCATAATTTATTGTTCTCCTCTCCCTCTCAGCTACATTAAAATCAGCACCTAGAAAATTGGAATCTCTGGGATTCCAGAGGGTTGGCCCTGCTTTTAGATATTGAAATCAAGACAGTGGCATGCAAATGACACTTTAACACATTAAAGTATTTGGAAACCAGCCATCTGTTTTGCTGTGTGGCCTCACACTAATAAACAAAAGATACAGTACAAGGCCAGGCGGGAAATGAAAGAAAGCTTTGGCTGTCTTTGAAGCTCTCCACCACTTCAGTCTTTTAGAGGCAACCTCAGAACCCAGCAACTGAGGGGACGGCACCCGTTGCCCTTGATATGGCCGCCGCTCCTGCGCCTACAGAGCCAGGGCTCGGCCCAGTGACAGAGCAGCACAGGAAACCTGGGGGTACTCTAGAAAGCCTGCAAATGCCAAGTTTTTGTAGCCTTTTCTTCCCAGCCCATCCTTTTAAAACACTGTTTGGGAAGAAAGGAAGTCATATGTCTGTATTTGTTTGGGATGCTGTAAAATTTCTGCTGTGCTCTTAGGGCTCAAATCCTCCAGATATGTGGGAAAGTGGCAAGAGGTCTAGGGGAGAAGCACTTTGAACTCTTATCATTAGCTGGTCTCCTCTGTTTCAGATCTGAGGCACGCTTTGGTCAGAAATAATTTGAATACTGAAAGACCAAGCTGTCTTTCGCAGTTCATCTGAAAGAACTTATTGAGCATGGCAAAGAAAATGAAAACTTCTTTTCTGAGTTATGTGGCAAGAAAGTAGAACTGTGAATATTGTGCAGCCGTGATGGCCATGAAATCAAAGCTGAGTCTGAGAGGAATGAGATGTGTAGCCCAGAGATGGGGGTGAGGAGGAGCAGGAAAGGAGGGATGTTGACAGGAAGAATGGGGGGAGGGATGCAAGGACTTACTCAAAACAGACTGCACTTAATTTAAAGGGTGGAATCTATTGGAACACTTCCTGACAATCCAAAAAGAAGGAAGAGGGGTGGAGTGGAGCTTTACCCTCACAAGAGCTTTATACTGGAGCTAATTAAATGTGAATCTCTTCGCTCTTGGTTCATTGATGTGAGGAAAGACTGACTGAAGACAGTTTCAGCTTTTGAAGGGGGCTCTGTTTATATATATGTCAACATTCAGTTGGAGGTGAAAAGGTTAGTACTTGACCCAGGAAGTATCCATGTTTGTTTCACAAATAGATCTGCTTCATAAATTTCTTCACTATTCTTTTTTTTCATTATAAACTTCAATTATATTAAGGCATTATCATTATTTTAAAGAGAATCAATACATTAAATAGACATTAGTTAAAAGAACTTCCACTCAGAGGGTACGGTTCAGCTATAGGATAATGGGAAGTGCTTCCTTTTATTCTAGAAAAGGCCCACCTCACTGAAAACACACACCGTTCTTCTCTTTCCTCCACATGAAATGAGCCAATGGTGCATGGTGTGAAGCAACAAACTGTAACCCAGCCAAATACACAGATGCTTAAACATACCTGAAACTTGAATATATTTATTACAGACATTGTAAGACCCGTAAACTTTGCTCTGTATCACATCACTTCAGGATCTCAGAGCACTTCATGATTGTACAGGAGATGGCAAATATGATAGGCTTACAAAGAATAAACTGATAGAACTCAGTGTGGTACTTGAGGGACGTCAAAACATTGTGCGACATGCAAAAGACTATTCACGAATCACACAAAATATACATTCATTGTGCCATCCATCACACTAACAATTGAGCTGAAAATACACCATATCCAGCTAGGATTACTTTGGAAAGAAGTTGACTTGAATAATATCTTTAGGTTCTGGACAAACCAGCACAGAGTTTAAATGGAGGGTGGCCAGGGAAACAAGAAGAAAAGGGTAGGGTTGCAGATAGATTTAGCACAGGAAGCCAAGATTCTGAACCTTGTGCTCTACAGCTTCTTAACTCACCAAGAGAAGGCTACCTACCATCTGAGCATCTGACTGGGTTTAAATGAGGGAATTTGTTCTTCTACCTATAATTATGTATAAAATTGTACCACTTTTGAGAGTTTGCCCACCCTGATTTTGCACCTAATCTAAAGCCCTCTAGAAAATTTGTATAAAGATATATCTCTTAGGACAAAGTATTTACAATCAGCAAACTCACACACAGGAAACTGAATTAAATTAAGGATGAATTAATTGTGTAAACACACTCATAGTGCATCTCTTCCCCATGAGTTCCTGGACCCTCCTTTCTCTATATTCCATTGCTAAGGATAAGGTAAAGGAGCGCTGTAAATATACAGTTAGATAAAAGGGGATGTCTCCTTCTGACAGCTTTCTACTAGCAAAAGGAACTATTTTTAAAAGGGTATCTGAAAGGAACAGCAGGTTCTGTGAAAATCTCCTAAATCAGAGATGGATGTTAAGGGTCATCAGAAATTGATGCTGGCACCCAATCTGGATTAAGAAGTTAACCCCCTACTGTGTCTTTGGCATAGAATTATCTAGAAATACATTATCCTGGCCAGGAGCACCCCAGATAGGATCAGAAAGGAAGAGATACTGCAAATGGAAAGGATGATAATCAGCTAAGAATGTGCTTTGGGTGAGGCCTGGGCTGCAGAGTCTGGGGCTGGGGTGGCCTCAATGGGAGGTAGTCAGAGTGTCTGAGGTAGAAGACCCGGGAGAAGGGACGCAGGGTGAGGAGCTAGATTTCTCTGATGATTCCTCGGCCTTTTCGTCGCTTCCGGGCGGGGTGGCCGGTGAGATGGGCAAGAGCCCCTCTTTCTCACGTTTCTTCTGTTTCATTCTTCGATTCTGGAACCAGATCTTCACCTGGGTCTCATTGAGCTGCAGGGACGCGGCGATCTCCACCCTGCGGGCGCGAGTCAGATACTTGTTGAAGTGGAACTCCTTCTCCAGCTCCGTGAGCTGCTTGGTGGTGAAGTTGGTGCGCACAGCGTTGGGTTGACCCACATAACCATACTCTCCAACTTTCCCTGAGGTAAAGTGGAAAGGGAAGAGAGGAAAAGGTAAAAATCCTTAAATCCATAGGACATTCCCTACACACTTTGGAATATTCGGGTAAAGGGGAGATTATGAACTTCTGAACACAAACGGTCTGGGAGGCTGAGTGATGAGGTGAAAAGTGTTAACCTCAAGCCAGCCATTAGCGTAGGACTAGTGATTAATGGAACCTGGCGATATTAACAGAGCACCATAACCACCAACACTACACACACACACACACACACACACACACACACACACACACACACCACCCTTTGAAAACACACCAGTTCTTTGGGGACTTCTTTGCCCCCAACATACCTGGGCACACCACTTCCTGCATCCTACAAATCTAGCCAGAGGCCAGAACCTTTAAAAAAAAAGAAAGAAAGAAAGAAAGAAAGAAAGAAAGAAAGAAAGAAAGAAAGGAAGAAAGAAAGAAAGAAAGGATAGCTTTGGAAACTAAGCACACCAACTCCTACAGAATTATCAGGATGCCTCCTCTGGCTGGCAGGACTGACCTGTTTTGGGAGGGTTTCTTTTGACTTTCATCCAGTCAAAGGTCTGCGCTGGAGATGTCTCCGTCGCAGGTGAGCGACAGGCTTCTTGGTGGCTGGCGTGGAGAGGGGACAAGGAGTTATTATACGTAGCCAGGGCCAGGCTCTGGTGCTCTTGTCCATATGAGTGGTGAATGTATTGAGGCGAGCCCGCCGAGCCCCCGGCATAACCCTGGTGGTGGTGGTGATGCTGGACCATGGGAGTTGAGAGATTTCCAGAGTAAACTGCGGGAGCGCACGGGGAGTAACCGCCACTTACGTCTGCTTCCTGATTTAACCCGTAGGGGCTATAAGGCGCACCAAAGTTCTGCGCGCCATAGCTTGGACCACAACTCGAGTGGGAGTAGGACACCCCCAGGTTCCCAGAAGTCTGGTAAGTGGCCGGCTGGGGGTGGTGATGGTGATGGTGGTGGTGGTGGTGGGGTGAGTTGATCTGCACCCCCCTGCCCACCAGGAAGCGGTCGTCGCTGCTGCAGCTGTTGGCACTGACCGCGCACGACTGGAAAGTTGTAATTCCATGATCGGAGGGGTAGGCTCGAGCTGAGCAAGTCCCCGAGTCGCCACTGCTAAGGAGGGGGTATTCCAGGAAGGAGCTCATTCTTGCATTGTCCATCTGTCACTGAGTGACCGTGTCCTGCGAAGCCCTGGGTGACCGTGCCAACTTTCTCACTTCCTCCATGGGGCCGGAGAAGAAAAATGATATGAATGTACAGTGCGCAAGAGGGGGGGCTGGAGGGCGGAGGGCGCAAGAAGAGGGGCACGTGACTTTCTCAGCCAATGGCTGACGCTCCTGCGAAAGTTTGCCGGCTCCGGCGGTGATGGATCACCATTTCAGTGGCATTTAAATCCCTGGCGCTCCTCCGCCTAGGTGACGCGCAGTCGCCCCCCCAGGCAGCCCGAGCGGCGGCAGCAGCTGCGGCGTCTGCAAGGGCAGATTCGGAGTGCTGGGGCCAAGAGGAGCAGAGGCTGCCTTCTGCGCGCGCCCGACACCGTTCGCCCCCCCCTTCGGAAGGTGGGGGCTGGAAGACATCCCGCGTCCCTGTTCCTCTCCCCGCCGGGCTTGGAAAGACGAACAGGCCAGAGGTGAGAAGGGTAGTGGGCTCCCGACTGTCGAGGAGGCGCGCGGGGGGGGGGGGGGGGACCGGCGGCCGCAAGTACACCGGCTGAGCCCCAGGGCGCCAGGCGGGAAGGGTGGAGACCCGGCCCCCGCGCGCCCCAGCTCCCGGGTGCTTCCGACGCACAGCTCCTGCCGCTAGCCCTGGGACCGTGAGGAGCTCAGAGAACGGTGGCTGGCTATGAGGCTCTCCAAGCTCGGAATGGAGCGGGCTGGGCGCAGAAGACGGTCTAGGGGGTTCACTGGTGGGTGTGCAGGGGCAGAGGGCAAGGAAAGAAACTTCCCTTCTCCCTGGAGGGTCTCCCCAAGCAGCGCTTGCCTTTAGCACGGCAATGAGGAGCTTCTGTAATTCGACCCTCCGGGCGGATGAGCGCTTGTTTTGCAGCTAGCTAGAAAAGGCCCTGCGTAGCCTGGCTCTTCGGGATCCTCCTTCTTGCTCGCCCTCCGCCCCTTTTCCCTCCCTGTTCAGCCTTACTCCTCCGGGATCCGGAGCTACTGGGCCGCTAGAGTTTGAGGGGTAGGAGGCGGGGGAGAGAGATGACGATAGCAGACGTGGGCAGTGTGGGGGCCGGGCCGAGCGCTGCAGGCCATCTGCCGGCTCCTTGGGACCCCGGAGCCCCTGCGCTCCTGCACAGGCCTTGCCGGGTCGGATCAGGGCTCTTGCGGAGTGTACTGAACTGCACCCACCCCGCCACATTTCTCTTGTTCTGAAAGGAAATGTTAGGAAAGGGAGAGCCTCCTCTTTCCAAGGCCCCCCTACTCCGCTACTGTAAGTCTGGAATGGGGGTGGGGAATGGCAGGTGGGAGGGGCGGTGGACAGATGGCTGCGGGTGAGCGAGACACTTTTCTTCCCCAACAATATCGCTCACCATTTCCAGCGGATTGTGGAGTTGCTTGTGTGAACCCTCAAGTCTTTCCCTAGAGAGACATGAGCAGTTCTGAGTGTCACGCCAGGCCAGGGGTCCTGTCGCCATCACCTTCATTCTACAATGAGGCGGCTGGGGTCATTAATTGCTGTTTACTGTTAGGTTTTGTGTCACTCCTTGGGCTTGTAGAGAGAAAAGGCCAGAGTCCTGAGAAGTGACGAATTCCTAAATAGGAAAAATCCAGAGATTATCTAAGAAACGTGTACCTAATGAAGCATAGGTTTTACTTCGACCATGTTTACAGCATCAGATCAGACAGATGAAATTAATAATGAGGATTGTGCATGGATTTGGGGTTCCAGCTCTCCCCATTTCTCTCTCCTATTAGAAAAAGGCAGGCACATTTCAAATATGTTGGTCACCTTTTCAGGCTTCTGTGTTTGGTTCTCCACCTATAGAAGTTCCCCCAAAACCGGGTCACCCAAGAGGGAGAGCCTATGCAGCATAGCTTTGACTGTAGACTCTCTCAAGAGCAATAATTTTTTTTTCCTGAAACATTTCCTTTTGGAATATTTCACAGTGACCTTTGACCTACCCTCAAGCATGGTTAGTAGGGGGCAGGGCTACCAAACCACCCACCCCCACGCTCACATATAGGCCCGCCCCTTTCACTTTCTGGGGAATCTTCATACTGGAGATGGGTGAAAGGCTAGGAGGCCCTCCTGCAGAGAGCTTCTTTGAGAGCGCCAGCCCTCCAGTGATAGGGAAAGGAGGGGTTCTTGTGGGCCAGGGACGAGATGTGAGTGGGTCGGTGGTGATGTGCAGGCTATTCGCTAAACTGATGCTAGGCCTCTCCCCCTGGCCTTATTCCAGTACCTTTGTGGTCTTCTGAGCTGCCTTTACACTCCCCTCCCCCCAGGCCTCAGGACCCCAGTCGCCAAGCTACTTCGCACACTACCCCTCACCAAGAGCTCCACGCTTCTCTCGCCTGTGTGTTCGCGGCCTCTACACACTTCTCCCTCCACTTCTCTTTCTCCTGGTCTCTTCTGCAAAACCTGGGTGGGGTGATTTCCTTGGGATCTCAAACTCGCACTCACTCATAGGCCCTCAGACACTCGAGCCAACCACCGACCCGCCTCCATGCGTGGCTTCCCACAGCCCTGCGCTCGAAGCCCAGCCTGCTCCCCAACTCGGCGGCCGCCCAGGAAGCCTCCCTCCTGGAGCGGCTCGCAGAGGCAGCTTCCCGAGGCCTGGAGCCCGCAGGCTTCGCTGCCGGGATCCTTCCCCAGCCCCCACTCTCGAGGAATCGCGGGTGGCATTCAGCGGAGCGGGGATGGGGGACCCTTGGTCCTCTGGGCAGTAGGGCAGCGACCCAAGACTGAACTCGTCTCTAATCGCCCCAGGAGAGAAGGGCAAGCTTGGGCACGGTTAAAATGACCGTCTGCCAGCCACTTGTTTGGCTCAAAGCGCCTTTTACTGGGCTCTTCTACTGGAAAGACAAGGAGCGAGGAGGCAAAACGCCGAGGCCCCGCGCTGTTCACGGCATCCGCGGCTGCGCCAAGCTGTTGTTTTAAAAGAGCAATAAAAATGAATTATGACTAAACGCCTTCTAACTTAATGCTTTCGGACGGGGATCCCCGGCAAATACGTAAGAGGATTTTTATTTGTGCATGTGTTCCTGCAATTGATCTCTTTGATGACATTCTCATTCATAGAAAGCATTTGATTTATGAGCTTAGAACGAATCGCATCCAGGAGCGCAGCCCTGGCCGCAGCCGGGACGCCCTGCTCGGCGCGGAGCCTGGGCCGGAAGCCGGCCGAGATCGGCACGCTGCTGCTGCTACTGCTGTGCCGGGATTTAGCAGTGAAGGAAGGGGTGAGAGGAGGTAGGGAGCAAGCCGGTGAGAAAGATTGCGATTTCATGAGAACGTTCAAGCCTTGGCTGCTAAGGGCTGGGTTCTTAACCGTCCCATACACATGTTGCTGCATTTTCTCACGGTGAGTAGTAGCTCTCAGAAAGGGAAAAATAAACACGAGGAAACAAGGAGGAGGAAAAAACAGAACAGCTCAGTAACACACCCTAGATCACATTTTATTGATATTTCATTTAAAGTGCTTTTTTTCTCTTTCGCTGTCTAGGAAAGTGGGTTAATATATAATATAATCTAGGGTGCAGAAACACTCCATTTTAAGTCTCAACTTGCTAACCTGACTTCAAAGCTTTAATGATCCATTATTAACAATGTAAACAGATTTAAGAATGAAATATTGATTTTTCTGACCCCTGGAAGAAAAGAAAGAATCCTAGAATGACTGAACAGACAATTGGAAAAAAAACCCTTGTGACATGCATTTTGCAGCAAGTAACCATTGTTCTGTTTTATTTTGTTTTTCTCTATCTTTTAGGTCTGTTTTGCCTGAACCCATCAACAGCTGGGAGATTAATCAACCACACAGAAAATGTGCGCGGGCTGGGGGGTGGAGGAGGGGTCGAATGTAGATGTTTCAGACAAACGTGTATAAATAAATGAATTGTTGATAACTTAGTTATTGACCTGGAGACTGATAGCTTGTTCAAGAAACTCCACTTTACTCATTCCTAGAGCTGGGGGTTTCTGTAGGCACTTTATCTCTCCACTTTCAAAAGCTTGGGCTTGGCCCTACTCTTAGGCTGCCCGATCCTGTTTCTATTACTAATTTAAATCTATGGCTTGAGCCTCTACTTGAGAAAAGCAAAATCTACTTCCTTCAAAAATAAAAACAAAAGCCAAAAAACAAAAACCACTTGTCAAAAGCCCTAGCCATTTTCTGGCTTTCTTCTTTGTTGCTGTCTACTGAAGACTTTAAACGTGCCACCTTAACAAATATATTAAAATTGAAAAGATAAATTGTGACCAGAATTTTATTTACCGAATTAGACTAAAAGAAGAAAAAGAAACCATTAGGAGCCTTGAGAAAGAGGGGGAGAAAAAATAAGAAAGCTACTTATAGCAAAGGAAAATTTATTCTACCAAAAATACGCATGACAATGCATCCTAATGTAATACAAAAATAAAAAGAAAGTGATGTTACAATTTATGATCACTTTCTTGCAGGCCTCATATATTGCTTTCAGGAAAATCACACAAAAGGTTGTTGGATTAGATTTAAAACAACAAAAATTCCAACACAATCTGGAAGAGATGGCTCTGAAACTGAGTCAGGGGAATCACTGAACAGAAAATCCTCACCATTTAAAGGAGGAGAGGAAGGTAAAAGATTAAAAACCAACTCCTGGAATAAAAGAAGGCAAAACCACCTGGCCAGAGGGGCTTTTGTTTTGTGATGCTTTTTTTTTTTTTTTTTTTTTTTGCTTTAATGTTTTTAGTAATTCAGATGCTGCAGGTCGATTGTGGTGAGTGTGTCTGTAAAAAAGTCAAAGCTGTCAGCCGAAATGTCTACAGGACTGTCGAGGGAGCCTGGCAAGCTGGGCGAGACCGCGTCTGAAAGCTGCAGGCAAGAATCTGTGGAGAAAACGTTAAAGTCCTGCAAAGAAGGGACTTCAAGGGCCTCGGGACTGTCATTGTTTAGGCCAGCTCCACAGTTCTGGCCCATTGTTGACAAGCAGTTAGGAACAGTGGGTGACTGATGCTGAAAATGTTTCAGATTTTTCTCATTGCTGGTTAAAGGCGAAACTGGGAAACTTTGGGAGTCGCCATTGTGTCCATTGGGAGCCTGCTGCTGGGAGAGGGCATTCTGCTGAAAAGTGTAACCTTCCCTCTCCAGAAGGGCCCCAGAGACGCTGAGGGCTTGCTCAAAGAGCGATTTCTCCTCCTCGTCCTCCTCCACTTTCTCTGAGTCCTCAAGGCTTTTAAATTTCCCTTCGTTGTTTTGGTTCTCCTTGCACTGGGTCTGCCTCTTGTGCTTCATCCTCCGGTTCTGAAACCACACTTTCACTTGTCTCTCAGTCAGATCCAGCAACGCTGCAATCTCCACCCTTCGGGGTCTGCAAAGATACTTGTTGAAATGAAATTCTTTTTCCAGCTCTAAAAGCTGCGTGTTAGTGTAAGCAGTTCTCAGGCGCCGCGATCCCCCACCGCTGCCATCGGCGATTTCCAGGGATTCTGCGGAAAGGGAAACCAACAAGAGACACACGCACAGTTGGAGGTGGAGGGGTCCGAGCAGGGTTATTCCACTGGAGAATAAATATAGCAGAAAAGATCAACTGCAACAAAATGGCCGCCCTGGATGCAGTGGAGCTATTGTGCTGCCTTTCCTGGGAGCCCAGCCTGGGGAAGCCCCAGCTCCTCCACCTCCATCGAATTCCCGTCTGTGGTTCACCCCAACCTCTTCATCCGGGAGCAAACTTTATATTAGCCACAACACAATTTATAATTAATGCATCAGCTGCTTAGCTGAGCAAGAGCGATCTATCACTCTTCATTACTGTCAAAAAGCCAAACTCTAGGACAACTAGACAAGAGGAGGTCAGTTCCAACTCAAATAAATCATCCCACATTACACAAGTTAGGGAAAGTTCCCCCCCTCTTCCTAAAAATATATGTGTCTCATTGTGGAGCGCAGGATCCCTTTCCTCTCCATCAAACCTACTCCTGAGCCCACAGGGGCAGGGAAAAGGCAACCAGGAATCTCTCCCTCTCCCCCTTCTCCTCCAGCCCGGGCTCCCCTCCCCCTGCCCGCTCTCGGGGCAGCCCAGAGGGGCTAGAGGGTCCGGAGGACCTGGGGCCAAGTCTCTGGACTGACCTTTGTGGCTGAGGCAGGCTGGGCCGGTGGCGGCGGCGGCGGCAGCAGGCGGCAGCGCGGTTTTCTTGGCTGCCTTCTTCTCCTTCATCCAGGGGTACTCGGGCGGCTGCAGGGTGCCGGCGGGCACCGGGCTGCCGCGACTGCCCGCGGGGCTCGGCTTGGGGCGGCCGCCCGCGCCGTGGCGAGGGTGACTGCCCGGGTTCAGGCTGGGAATGGTCTGCTCAAAAGGAGGAGGAATCAGTGTCGAGTGTGAAAGCGTCGAGGTCTTGATTGATGAACTTTGAAATGTATCAGCGACAGGGGGAAAAGATGTCAGGCACTCAGCGAGCGACGGCTGGCTATTGATAAAACCAATCTCTCGCTCAAATTCGTAATTCATGGCCTTCTCCTTGGAGCCCCCTCGGAGAAAAAGTTCCCTCTTTTGGAGGGGCTTTGGGGGGGCAAGGCCCAGGAAAAAGGCGAGCGCGGAGGGGAAAAAAATCTATCATAGAAGATCGCTGCTGGGGTGTTTTTTTTCTAATTCACTGATTACAGCCGTATGGGGACCGCGCTACTATTAAACTATTGAATTCATGGAGACAAGGTTGAAATTGGACCGAATTGGCTGTCACATGATTGCTTCTGCCCAATGACAATTTGGGCTTTAATCAAAAGAAGCCACTGTCTGTTTGATTGATCCAAAAAAGTCGGGAAGGAACGCCTCATTGGGGGCCAGCAAGGCTTTATTTACACTTTTTTCAAGGCAAAAATACATATATGTGGGTGTGGGAGGGAATAGCTAGGAGTGCCCGGGGCCAGGGTGCCTGCCCGCCTCCTCCCCGGGAGGACCTAGTATGTGCGCGCCTGGAGCGTGCAGCGCGAGCCGGCTGCGGCCCCTTCGGCGCTGCCCTCTGCCTCCCCCGCACACCCCGCGCATTGTTTGGGACTGTCGGGAAGACGCCTCGCACCTCACAAATCATTTAAGCACCTCACTCTGACGCCTGCAGTCATTAACAAAGTAATCCATTAATCTTCAAAGTTTTGACACTCGAGGGCCCCCGCATCCCAGCCACATAAGTTCTGCTAAAGCAGAAGGAATGAACAGAGAAAGAGAGAGATGAGAAAGGAAGAGAGGGAGGGAGAAAGGGAAGGAGAAAGAAAGGGAAGGTGGATTTGGGAGAATTCCCCTTTTATCATCCTTTCTTCTAATTTTCTTATAACCAGTAACTGGGTCTCAGAACTGTTATCTCCTCTGAGACTTCCTCTCTCTGTCTCTGTCTCTGTCTCCACCTCTCCTTTCCTCCCTCCTCTGTTTTCCTTCCTCTCTCCTTTTCTCTTCCCTTCTTTTTCCTCCTCTCCCCTCTCCCCCTCCCACCTTCTTCTGTCCGCCTCTCCTTCCCCCTGCAGCCCCTCACCCCCCTCTTAGTGTCCAGCCTGGAGTCCTCAGGCCCATTGTTAGCCGGCTTTTCCACGGCAGCTTTGCATCTGGCTCCAGCGGGAAGCGGAAAACGGGAGGCGGCTCTCGAAGCTTCCCGACCTCCCTGCGCCATCAACTTCTCAGGAGTGGCTGGAGAGAGACAGATGCATGTGCCAAGAGAGACAGCAACACCAGGTCCATGTGTCCAAATCCCCGTAGCCAGGGCGGCGGCCAGCCAGAGAAATGCCGCCTTGAGCAGGCGCGTGCGGCTCCTGGCATTCTGGGTTTCATACCCATAGGGCGCGGGTGTGGTGAGTATTTCCGATTTCCAGGAAGTCTGTTCCAAGTTATCAGCAGGAAGGAGAAGACGGTTGTTCCCCTATCCTTTCCCCCTACCCTTCTCCTTGTCCTTGTCGCTCTGGTTGGGGGCTGGTTGGTTCAGATGCAGCGAGTTCCTTGTCAGTCTGAATTGCTTCCCACACCTACTCCTTGGGCACCAGAAAGCTTTGCACCCGAGTTCTGGCGTGGGGAAGAGCATTGCCGGGAGAGGGCGACCCAAGGAGGATTACAAAGGTTCTCCTTCTTCTTCTCTTTTTTCCCAATTCCGAGACTTGAGACTGAGGTTATCTTGGACAGTGCTGGAAGGTTCAAAAGACAACACTTTTAGATACCAAAAAAATAGCTTAAAACCATCAAGCCAGAAAGAAGGGGGTAGAGAGAGACAGACCGAGAGCTCTGAAGGCACCTCTTTCTGCCCCCCACAACCCTGAGGATGGTGATTCGCTTTTGCTTCCTTTGAAATGGACCAAGTGATCAGACTCCTCCTGGCCTGCAGGCATCAGTGGCAGGAAAATAAATCATTCTGATGGCCAAGGAGAGAGAAGTTGGCTGGGGAGAAAAATACGCAGAAAACAAGAAAGGCTGACCAAGAAGCAAGGGCAGGACTCCATCTCCGAGGCCTGCATCAAAGGGAATTTGAGTTGAAAATGAGATATAAAGTGGCCTCCAACTTTGACCAGTTCAGAGCTTTGCCTTGCAGATAGAGATGGTATTTTGGAAAATGTGAAGTTTTTCAGTTTTCTTGCTTTTATTCCAAACAAAGCTCTGAAGGAAGTCTGGGTGCGATCAATCTTGCTCACCAAAAGCCTTGACAGCTTCTGGCCCTTAAGAACACATTTCAGCTTCGAGCTCTTTCCAAGATCAAATGTGTCCGAGCAAAGAGGAGAGCAGGAAACGCAAGTAAACAAGGAAAACTAGTCTTTTAAAAGACATTTTGTTGGCAATGGAAGGGTTATAAGGCTGCTTTTAGGAAAGGTGCTTTGCAGATTCTGGGATATCGGGCATTGGGCATTAGCTTTTACCAGAAAATATTGAGGGGTGAAAAGGAGAGGAGTTGCAGAGAGGGAACAGAGCTACCTCTAGATTACTTCGGGCTTTGTCAGGACTGCGTGGGTGAGAGCTTTCTGCCTGCCTCAGCTGCCTTAATTCAAATACCATCTGGAAGAAAACCTTTTTCTGAGACTGCTCAACATCAAAATCTTCCCCAAATCTATTACTTTAACTCAGGAGATATTTTAATAAGGATTTCTTTTTAATATCTAGGAAGCTGGGGGTGAAATCACTAGTTTTTCTTTGAAAGCCAAAATGAATGTCTTGACTAGCAAGATATGGGAAATCATATTAGAACCTCATTTTACAGTCTCTGCCCTGAGGAAAGGAGGAAGGTTCTAAACCAGTCTTCCCTCAGCTAAAGAGTAGATTTTTAGAAATGATTTCAAATAGTTGTATCTCTGAGTTTCATCTTTGGGTGGGGACTCTCTCCCCCCCCTTCCCTTCCTCCTCCTCTCCCTTTTCTCCTTCCTTTCCCTTGCCCTCCATCCCTCCCTAGAGATAGTATTCCTCATTTTCCCTGTTATTTTATACATGTCTCTAAGATGCTTACTTTAAAAAAAAGACTTTTGTACCTGCCTAGTATGAATAACCAAAAGGCAGAAGGTCCAGTTCTCCCAGAAACTGGTTTTCTGACCTCTGATGGGCACCATATTTTGGAGGGAGGATGGAGTGGGGGAAGTCAGTCCACCCCCCCCACACAAGCCAAACTCTTTGAAGAGAAAGGATGTATCAGGAACTGCAGAACAAATGTGAGGAAAGCACCTCTGGGTGTGAGAGAAACACCTAGCGCTCCGCAGCTGCTTGCTTTCGCATCCTCCTTAGACCTTTTTTTCTTAAAATATGATGGTTTGCTAAAAGCAGCTTGTTGGGGTGCAGCAGGTACCCAGAAATGGCTTCTGCCTGCTTCTAAGGATCCTCAGAGGGAGCCTGGGGGTGGGGGAGTAGAGGCCATGATGATGAATATTTTGGATTGCAAACAAAATGGCGACATTTTCACTTCTGCCTCTGAAAGATACAATCCAGGAAGGATGGGAGCTTAATTTCTTATATCAGACGCTCCTGATCCCACAGATGCAGGCCGCTCCTCACTTCCAGCTTGGAGAGGGTTATGATGGGGATGCAACGCTGAGGTTGCATTTTTGCATTGGTTCTTTCTCCGAGTAATTCTTTAATTTGAAGATGGAAATATTCCCATTGTGACTGTCTTTGCCTCTGCCAGCCAGTCAGTAAGCAACCCTATCTTAAATCCAAGAGTGGGAATGTAATGTTTTGCTCTTGTACTATCAAATGAAAGAAGTACTTATACAATTGCATTTTTATTAGAAAGATACCAATCTCCTTTCTCTCTCCCCCTCCCCCTGGGGCCATAAAAAGAAAGCTGGGAGGGGAGGAGAGGAAATAAACCCAGAGAGTGGCAAATGCTAAATTCCAGGAGGAAACTGATGCTGGGATACAGTCAGTCCAGAAAGGGGCTCAGGGAGACTCCTGAGCTCAGCTTTTCTTTTGCTGGAAACCTAGGGAAAGTTCAGTCCCTTTGGCTCCATGTGGTGATTTTAAGAGCGATTCTTTCATCTTGGCGTGATACTGGACCGTGAAACATCTGCGAAGGAGACTAGGAATCCGACTGATGGTGGAAACTGTTCAGCATCCTCCGAGAGAGCTCAGGCGTAGGCTACTAGGCTGAGACCCGGAGGGAAAGCGTGGAGAAGACCGCCCATCATTCTCTCCCCCGGCTGCGGGCACCTGTGCGCCCCCCGCCGCGCCTACAGCCAGGCTGCCTTTGTTCCTGCGGGACACTGCACTCCGCAGCCCTGGCGCCCTCCGCCTGCCTCGGCAGCAGCTGGGAACCAGGCTGCGCAGCGGGCCGGCCTGGCGGCGTTTCCAGGGCTGCCGCTGCCGGAACCTCAGCTTCTTCCCGAGAACTGGCGCAACTTCCAGGGGAGCCGCCGGGCCAGGCCCGCGCCCGAGGAGTCGCAGGGCTGCCTGCCGCGGCCTACTCAGCCAGCTCGCCTCTGCCTAGATGGCACACGGACCACATTTTCAGCCAAAGAACCCTTTTTGAACACAGATATTAATCAGAATAAAAACTTTATTTTCTGTTTTGTTTCTCAGAATGTGAGCAGCAAGGAATGTAGAACTCTCAAAACAAATCTAGCATTTTTCATGTTTACAGATTTTTTTCAGTTTTACCGGATGTTACAAACCTAAGTCACTGTTTTCAAACGCTGGATCCTCTCTGGTTTTATTGCATCATTACCATTTTTATAAAGGAATTATATTTCCCTTTCAAATAAAAAATTTATATGTACGCCAATACACTATTGAACAAAAGGCCCAAGAAACCTTCTGAACAACCAGGGTACACAATTTCTTTAATATAAATACGAACGGATGGGGATAAATAATATTTAAAACTTAGACTATTCAATGCTTGCAAAAAAAATATAAATAAATCTGACTGTTCACCAGCATACACACACGGGAAAGACGTACACTTAATCATCCTTGTACAGGGAGCCCCTGTTTCAAAGCGCCTTTGATTTTTTTTCTCACTCTTTACAAGAAGTGCAATTTAAAAAACTAAAAATTAAAAAAAAGTAATTGCTTCCCCTCGGAAGCCTTAAAGTACGAACAAATTCACATTGAAAACTCGACTAGAAAATTTGTTCATATACCCTGTTTCTGATCAAAGAGTAGAGAAGGTAAAGGGTGTAGGGCCAGCGGCGGAGCGAGGGGCGGGAAGAGATAAATATCGCTACTGATACTGACAGCCATTCCAGCAACCAAGATTGCTACGTCACATAAACTATAAAAATGCATTACCAAAAGAGAACAAAACGGGGAAGGGGGAAAGGAAGGGGCAGAAAGAACCTAAAACAAGAAAAAGAAAAGGGTGAAGGAGGGGGACTCTCCTGGCACGCAGCCCCTAGCCCACCATCACAGGTGGGTGAGTTTGGGCGCTTCCTGAATTCTTCCCTGAGAAGGATGGTGGGCTGAAAGGTCCGTGTAAGTGGGATGAGGCTCTCCTGGCCCTGGCCCGTGGTGGTGACCGCTGCCCAGTGGCCCAGCGCCCCCGTAGTCCATGGCGGCCGCCGATGCGTGGGGGAGGTGAGTTAGGCCAAAGAGAGCCGGCCCAGAGTTGCTCATGGGCTCCACATAGCTGCCCCCCACGAAGACGGGGCTTCCCTGTAAGTGTGGGGTCCCATAGCTGCCGTTGCCCTGGAGGCTATGAGCGTGCGGGTCATAGTCTGGGGTGCCTCCTGAGCCCGCCCCCGCCGTCGCATAGCGCTTCTGTGGGGGAGGTGGGGGTGCACAGCTGGGTAGGGGTGCGGGGTAGGAGGTGGGAGGGAGACCGTAGGCGCTTTGGGGAGGTTTAGAGAAAGGTGGGGGCGACTGGGGCTCGTACGGGACGCTGTTGACTAGCGAATGCATAGAGTTCAGGTAGCTGCCCGCGCCTGGGGGCACGGGGCTGCGACTTGGGGACTGGCCCCCGGATGACGTCAGCATGCCCTTGCCCTTCTGATCCTTCTTATATTTCATGCGGCGGTTCTGGAACCAGATCTTGATCTGGCGCTCGGTGAGGTTCAGCAGGTTGGCCATCTCCACCCGGCGCGGGCGGCACAGGTAGCGGTTGAAGTGGAACTCCTTCTCCAGCTCCACCAGCTGCGCGCTCGTGTAGGCCGTGCGCGCGCGCTTGGAAGACGCCTGTCCAGGCGGGCTCTTGTCACCAGCGCAGCTCTCGCCTGCCGGGACAGAGAGGAAGAGCGGCGTCAGGGGCTGCGGGCGACCCCGCCCCGCTCCTGACCCAGTCTGGCCCCTCCTTTCTCCAGATCCTACAACTCCCTCCAGTTGTCAGGTCCTAGTGCAGTCGTGTGTCTTGGATGGGAAAACAGTGCAAATAGCTAGTACAGCACTTAGCTAAAGAGCAGTGGGGTGCACGCCTATAATTCCAGCCCTCAGTTGGCTGAGGTAGGTGTATGGTTGCAGCTCAAGCCCAGTCTAGACTAGAGTGTGTTCGAGTCCAGCCTGAACTGTGTAGCAGAAACCCTGTCTCAAAAAGACCAAAGAAAAAAAGTATAGGCTTCTCCAACAGGGAAAAACCAAAAAAGTAGAACCCCAGTTTGCCTTCAATCTCTATTTCCTTTCTGGTGTTACTTTCTCACTCATTTACTGGCGTTCTAGACCCATTAGACAAGAAGCTTCGTGTTGGTAGGTCTCACATCTTTATTCCCTTCCCAGTAAGTAACATGTGAGTCACCTAAGGCACACACTCAAACCTTCTTTTGTTCCCTGTTTTGATTGATTAGGCAGTAACTTCTATTTGCCAATTTAAAAATCTACTGAAGAGGAGACCAGCAGAGTAGAAATCCTAAACTGGAAGGCCTTCACTGGCCAAAGGAAGTGATTCCATTGAAGATACCCATTTCTGTTGGGGAGACCCAGCCCCCTCAAAGCTCTATGCATTAGAGCTCCTCCTGTCATCCAGCAGCCTGCCAAACCTCTCCCTGGCATTTTGTACCCTCCAACCCCCACCCCTACCCCTACCCCCAATCCTGGCTGTGGAAGACCCAGATGTTCAAACTCAGAACAGAGAATTAGCAACTGGAAAAGACAGGGGCAAAGGTAACCTAGATGCTGGGGGGTGGGAGGGGGGTGACTTTCTTGCACTACACTCCAGTTCCAGAAGGCCCATGTGGTTCCTATTAGGATGACAAGCCACCCCTCATCCCTGGCTGATTTTATTGTACTAAGTCTGAGCAAAGCCTTCCCAGAGGTAAGGCAGCCACTCCATCTGCTGGAGCAAAAATTGGCTCTGATGATAGACAAAGCATTGATTCTGATTTGGAGGGTGATTAGGCCTGGTTTTCCTCTTTTCAGTACAGGGAGGATGTCACTGTTTCATTAGAATAAAGGAGCTGTGCTAAAAGAGAGATAATGGAGCTCAGGATGGCTCTGCCTAGAGATCAGAACTTCAGGAGTAAAACAAGGAGACTCCAACTGCACTAGGTTATGCTTGTCCTTGGACAGATCCAGAGAGACTCTCATCGGGTCTCTGAAGTTTCTTGACCCACAGAAGCCTTATTTCCCTAAATTGTAAAGATCCTGAAAACCTTTTTGTGGGGGGGAGGGGGATGAATTTCTGAAAATTTTCCAGTGCTCCCAAACTGTGCTGTTGTGGCTAGGTCTCAGGGTCTGGAGCCAAGCCAGAGGACCCTCCTTCAGAAAGTACCCCTTTACCTGAGCTGGAGCCGCTGGTTTTCTGCTTTGTATTTTGCCTTGACTCTTTCATCCAGGGGAAGATTTGTTTGGCCACGGTGGGCGAGTTGAGCAGGGGGCTCTTGGCTGCGTTGGCTGGGGTGGGATTGCTGCTGGTATTCTGAGGAGGGGAAACAGAAGAGGGGGGCGGAGGGGCTGCAGGGGTGGGCGCAGGGGGCTGCGGTGGAGGTTGGGGTGGCTGGGGAGCTGGTGGTGCGGCCTGGGGCGGCGGCGGAGGGGGCAGGGGTGGGTCGCCTAGGCCTGGAGGCTGGCTGGGCGGGCCGCTCAAGGTGCGCAGACATGCTTCGCTTAGTTCGTGTGCCTTGGGATGGCCCCCCGCGCTGGCGGGTGACTGAAGTGAACAGGCCGGTCGGTGGTACTCGCCATCGGCTCCCAGAGCGGCAGATGCCGCATAGGGTTGCTGACTGGCATTATAAGCGAACCCGTTGGTTGCCTGGTAGGGGTAGGCGCCGTAGATCGCTGAGCTGTCGTAGTAGGTCGCTTTTTGCATCGCGTTGTTTCAGGATCTTGATCAAACACTCTGACAGGGGCTTGACACACGTGAGGGCGCACATTGGCACGCCCCCGCGGTCACGTGACACTCCGCCGCCAATGGCCGCCCCGCGCAGACCTGGGGGGGGTAGAAGCGCAGCGCGGTGAGGGCTCTGCGCAAATCCATCTTACTCTCAATAGCTAAGTGACATGAAAGCCATAAAAGAAAAAGTGGTCAGCAATATTTAGCAGCACGACTTGGCCCCGGGCGCAGGGAGCTGCGCTATAAAAAGCCGCTGGAATTTACTGGCAGCTACAAATATTTGCTTAACTTGCGTCTGGAGTTGGGGGATTTTCCGGGGACAGAGGAGAATGAGTGAGGGCTGGAAGCCGAGTCTCTGGAGCAGAGGTCCAAAAGGAAAAAGGCCCGGTAGGCTAGAAAGAGCAAGTTGGGATCTTGCTTTTCCAGGGAAGAAGAAATGTGGTTATCCCTCCGTCTCCACTCTTTGGCATCATCCAGAGGGCATGAGACCTTACTCACTGCGGAACCTGGGGAACTGGCTAGGAGTCTGGGTCTCCAGTTTTTGTCTCCAATCTCTGCTTTAGGACTAATACTTTCCAAAATAGCACTGAAATGGGGTGACTTCCCATTTCAGCTCTTTCTTGGTCCTTCCTGCCCTCAAGAGAGGTCTGCATAAAAAATACTTTAGATAGTTACACTATTAGAGTGTGCTGGCTTTCAGAGACTGAGCTTCTTAGGTAGTAAAGTCTATCCTATTCAAGGATAGGGCCCACCTCCTCGAAATGAGCTCCTTCTGGCCAAAACAGAGAAAACTGGGTGAAACGCAAGATGTGCATTGTGTGTGCGTTGGGGGAGACTAACAACACCCCCATCCAGCAAGTCACAGCTCAAACCCTGGGTGGTTCTTTGCTCTTTTGCTCTCTCTGTTTCTCAGGCACTTCACAGCAAGCCACCCCAAGTCTTCTCACCAGTTATAGGAGGTTCCCAGACCCTTCTGACTTGGACTTTCTGAGGTGCTGTTATTCAGAGCAACTATCAAATTCTACCTGTTAAAACATGATGGATTAGAGAAAAAAACAACCCACCAGGAACCTGAAAAACCAGCGTTCATCTCCATGACCACGGCTTGAACTCTCCTTCCAACGTAACGATAATAGGTTCTGTCTTAGAAACTGCTATGTAATTTGATGTATGGGGGTCATTTGGCTCAGGACAAGGCATGGAAGCACAAGCCATAAAATCCTGCCAGAGTTCCCTGATCTTTGTGGGCTGCTGTTGTTGATATTTCTTACTTGCCTATTTACCTGCTTCAAAAACACCAAGGGTAACAATGAAAATCTAAAAAAGTAATTAAAAACCTTCTCAACCCTCTTTTATCTGGCAAGTTTGCAGTAGTGAAGTCTTTTCTTTTTGTTTTCAGTTTTTGCATAATCAGTCTCTAGTTCTCAGCAAAAGTTCCATGTGAGTTTCATACATTTCTCTCTCTCTCTCTCTCTCTCTCTCTCTCTCTCTCTCACACACACACACACACACACAATGTTAATTCTTCAAATCATTAAGAAAGTTATAAGAACAAATGCCTAAAGAAAATGCTTTACACTTCATTCTCTGAGTACATTGAGTTTCAGAGATTCTCAAGATTTTCGGGAATAGCAGATGTTAACTAGAGAAAAGTAACATAATAAGCATTTACCAGTGCATGATAATTTTGTTTTTAATAATGTACCCTTAGACTTCATTACTAAAGCAACAATCAGACCAACATCTGGAAAACAAACACAATTAATTTTCCAGATCTTCAATGAAAAATTAAAGCATCCCTTACCCAAAGTTACTGTGTATGATCATGAGCCCTAGAGTATTGTTTATCTTTTAGAAATAGATACAAAGTACAGATCCCAAGATAAAAAGCAAATAAAGGATGGGCTAAAATAAAATTTAAAACTGAATAGCAATTTGATGTCTCAGTTTCCTGTTCTTCCACTGAAAACAATTCCTATTACATTTGGCAATGTTACTATCCGCCATTATAAATTTTTTAGATATTATACCGTATAAAATAAAAATGTCAGGTTAATAAAATTACTCTAGACATCTGAACAGCATTATACTAGATAAAACAAAATTAACTTGATTCTGAACATGCAAAATTTCTAGTCACTTGCTAATCTCTTGTCACAGGTTACACCAGCCCAAGCTTACTAAAACCTTTTCATTAAGTTACGCATTGTGTTGTAGGATAACAAAAATACCTTCAAAAATCAAAGAGCATACAACAGCCATAGAAAGTTAAAACGTGACCTCAATTCGAAGATTCAAACAAAATTCTATTGTTTGGGACTGCAATCACCTTGGAGTTCACACAATTCCCCCATAATTGGCCCCCAAAGTTTGAAACCTAGTAAAGAAGTTGGAGATCTGCCAACCAAGAAACTTCGCTTTATACCTCTAGGCAAAAGATAGGGTGCAGGGAGATTCCCGGGCAAATATCTATTTCCATTTCCGGACAATAACCCCCCAGGTGCAAGAGCTGAAAGAGAGTGGAGGACACAAAATTGAGCGCAAGAAGCGAGCCCTATTGTCTCACTACAAGGTGTGCCCAAATTCGACCTCCTTGCTGCAGACAGCTCTCCCTCTTTCCTGCCTCCCCTTCCTTAGCAAGCCTTCACCCCGACTCTGAGCGGGACGTCGGGAAGAGCCCCCGCGTCCCCTGTCCACTCCTCCCTCCCCAACCCAGAAAAGTTGAGGCTGGGCTACCGGGAGAGCTAAGAGTGGGGGCGGGGATGGGAAAGCGGCCTGAACTCGAAGTGTAAGGGTATCAGTCACTGCCGGGAAGGAAGCTCCGGCTTGTGAACTCTTCTTGAACCGAGATTTAAGTCTGCAGCCATAAATCACTGAGACGTAAACTCAGCCATTCAGCGCCGAGAGCGGCCGGTTGTGGCCCTGCTTACCTTAACTTCTGGCGAGCGCCTCGAGCGCAGGCTCAGGCTGAGGCTGGGGCTCGGGCTCCGGCCCCGGCCCGGCTCCGCGGCCCGGCCGGGTCCCCTCGGCGCGGGATGGGGACGGACCCTCAGCATCAGCCGAGACGGCTGGCGGGCGGGAGACCCGAGGCCCGGACGCCGCGGCGCAGAGCGTGGTCGCCTCGCTGTTCCGCACCGCTCGCCCTGGGCGGACTGGGGCGGCTCGGACACCCCCTCCCCCCACCCTCCCACCCACCCCTCCCCCACACCTCCTCCCCCCTGCCCTTCCTGAGGGCCGCAGCCGCGGCCTGGAGATAGCGCTGGCGCGGCGCGGGCTCTGCCTGGGCTAGTGGCACCGACTTGGGTATGTTTCTTATGAATATTACACGCGGAGCAGCGTCTGGTCGGGTGCGATGGGGGGTGCTGGGGGCGGGCGGGAGGGGAGACCGAGGCGGCCTGGGAAGCGCGGGCCGGCGTGGGGGATGGGGCAGAGGCGAGGGGAGGGACCGGAGAGGGGAGCTCCGCGACGGCGGGGGAGGGCGGCTTCCCCACCTCCAGCGCCCTCCCTCGCTGCGCTCCTGGGCGTCACTAAAGTCCAGGAAAATTATGCTAATGAGGACAAACGGCTCTCACAAAGGGGCTCTCTGGCTGGGCTCCATTTCTTAAGAATCGTTTGAGAAACCACGCAACCCTCGGCCTTGGATGTTATGGGCCGTGGGACAAGGGGAAAAAGAGAAGCAGAAATGAGTTCCTCAGACTTTGGGCAGCTTACTTCACCTGCCACTCCCAATCTTTGGGTTACTGGGGTCGGGCCTTTCTCCAAAGACTTTCCCAAGAGCCAACTAGACTGTTGTTAGTTATCTTTTTAGGTAGAAACTAGTGGCGTCCTGGCAGCAGGAAGAAAGTGTACTGGGGGAGATGCGCAGTTGGCCCAGCAGGGAGACGAACTCTCTGGGCTAGGCGCGCAGAAGGGTGCCTAGAACCCCGGCTGTCCAAGCTCCCCTGTGCCCATTGCACAGTGTAGACGGACACGCGGCTCGCCCCCGGCAAGGCAGAGGAAGCTCTGAGTCCAGCACAGAGGGACAATAGTCCACCCTAATGAGTGGAGTGGCCTCGTTGAGCGAACGAGAGGCTTTCGTGGTCGTATGCCTCAACTTTAAAGAGGACAGTGTTCCTCCAAAATCTCCCTCAACTCCCCAGGTTCTAAAGCAAACTCTGCAAGAGAACCAGTGTGCTTAGAAGAGAGAAAGGGAGCTTTCCTGCAATTCCAAGGCTTCCAAGACGAGTCCTCCTCAAAAGAAGGTGTTAAAAATATAAGTAGTATGTTTAAACTGTCAGGGAGCCAAAGTGTCACATTAGAGCAAAAACAAAGCCAGGGGAAAAAGGAAAAAAACAAAAACAAAACAAAAAAAAAAAACAAAACACTTCGGGCCAGGGTGGCCTCATGCATACCAATGGTTTTTGTCATTTATGGCTGGGCAAGATTTATGACTCTGCGCCCCAAAGCTGTAAACAGAGCGCAAAACAGCAAACACTTGTTCCTTATGGCATATTGCGGCGGCACAACTTGAAAGGGGGAACCGGGCCGCGTAGGAGGTGAGAGCCAGCCGCAAAAATCCGCTGGGCGGCATTTTCTCTTCAAACCTGCAGGGTCGGATGTGGCATTTGAAGAAAGGAGGCGTGGGTCAATAATCAACCCGCACTTTCTCCTCCAAACTGCTGACGCGACTCTCACCGCCTTCTCAGCTAAGCCAGCTGCAGGGAAGGCCGGCTCTCCGTGAGAACCTGCCCCGGGGAAGGGATCGTCTGGGCGGAGAAGACCCGAACAAGGGCTGGGACTCACGGAGCGCATACCTTTGCAGAGCGCCAAAACCAAGCTATGCAAACCGTGGGGACTGAACTTGAGGAGCCCAGGAAGATCTAGGCAGGAGCTCATCTCGGCCCAGGCCTCAGCCCTCCCCCAACTAGGTGATTTCTGGGATTCGGCCTCACTGCCAGAAGTGGCACTCAGACTTCCAGTCTAAGGTCTGGTGCCCTGGCCGGAAGATTGTCGGTGCGCCTGCCTCCGGACTGCTGAAATCCAAAGGATTGGCTCTCCAGCAAATCTCATACCAGATGATTAAAAATAATTTATAATGGCGGAAAGTTTTTGTCGGTTATTGTTTTTTAAGAGAAAATACGCTTATTGATTTCTGCCTACAGACCTTCCCCACCACATTTGTGCCCCTTCTAGCCCAGTCTCACAACAGTTCACCCGGCTCCTCCAAACCCACCAAGCTTTTCTTTGCTCTGAGGACTCCACGGGTCTCTGACCTTCCTCAAGTCCCCATGTCTCCTGATCTGTCGTCCAAGGGGACTAGAAGAAAAGTTTCTCGGCAGTAGAAGAATATTTGGAGCAGTGAAGGTGCCTGGTGGTTCCTTTCTACCATCAAGAGGGTGTATTGCCTGTCTCTGAGAGGGCCTCAGAGCTCCAAGACCATCTGTACAGCCAGGGAGGAAGGTGAGGAGTAAAACTGGCAAGAACAGGCATTGAAAGCCCAAAACAAGGAAGCAAATTACTGAGGAAATATACTTGCTTGTGAGGTTGAGGCTGGAATTTGGAGGGTAGAGGGGATCAGCCCTGTCTATTATGGAGTGGTTTTAGCTCTTTCCTGGGAGGAAAAAAATCAACCTGTGCTCTGTAAAAGCATCTCTTGGCTTCTCACCATGCATGCCTTGATACAAAACCAACTCAGAGAGTCCATCAATAGATATTTATTTAAGCAGCTGGCAGCAAAGTGACAATAAAAAGATGCCTCTAACAAACCTCTATTCCCTTTCTCATTCTTTCTAGTGAAACTATATTATTTATGAGTCTTTAACTGGGTCAAAAATGCGCCAGAACTGGGTCATAAATCATATGAAATGCTGACAAGTAATTGAACAGCAATTAAAGCTTACATTTTATTTCCAAGGGGTGTTTTAAAGCACTTGAAATGGCCTCAGTTAAACATGGTTACCGCGGAGGCCAACTAGGGAGGGCCGAATGAGCCCTTCCGCTCTGGGAAGTAAATCTCACTCAAATAGGGGGCCTGATTTGAGATTTTTTTTTTTAAATTAAGAAAGAAATGAATTTTTAAAACATCAAAGAGGCAAATTAAATCCCCAGCTTCTCGTAAGCACCCTTTTCCCTGCTCCACAAGCAAAGCAAAGCAGGAATTTCTTTTACCTTCCCAAGGAGTTTTTACTCTTCCCAGAACTGTGGAGTCCCCAAAGTCCAATTCACCTAGGCTTTCACAGTAATTTAGAAACATAAAATTAGACTCTTTTCTGCTTCCATCCTGGCTGCCCTCTGTTTCTGGGACTCTGAAACCAGAGAGATGTCTGCCTCTGCTTCCTGAGGACTCTGCCTCCAACCTTCCTTCCATCCCAAGGTATGAGTCAGTTCTTGAATTCTCAGAGCTGGGTGGGGACATACAGAGAGCATCCAGCACACTGATGAAAGCTAAATTTAGCCTCTGCAACCTTATAAATTCAAAAATAACCCAGGATCCAGGTAATAAACTTGCTCACCACCACCCCAAGCCTCTCCTAGGTCTGAGCTGTCTTCCATCTCTCTCAGGCAGATGGTGTTCAGGGAAACAATGGCTCGCCCTCCGGGTCGGCGCCTTAGGTCTGGCTAAGCATAGGGAAGCATGCCCTGCAACCTAGCACTGAATAAAGTGGCTGGAAGCATCATCAATAAAATGGTAGCACATCTGCACATTTCTCTCATCGATTTTCCTCTCCCATCTGCTTAGGCTGCCCCGGTCAGTCCAAACCCTCCATCCCCAACAGGCAAACACAAACACAGCTAACCTGGGAGAGATTCCTCTTCTCAGCCACCATTCTCCACCCCTTCCGTGAGGTCTCACTCTCCAAGTGGCACTGGCCACCTCTCCCTTGGCCTATGCCGGCGTCTGCCGCTGCCGCCACCAATTCAGGATGGTCCCTCTGCTGGACCTCGGCTCCTGGGACTCCAGCCCTGCCTGCTACAGTGGACAAAGCCACCTTAGTGCTGAGGACTGTGGGCCCACCTAGTAACCCCTAAGTTCTCCCCTCCTTTATACCCTGCAATACTTTTCAGAGAATTAAATTCAGAGTCTGAGGCACTACTGGAAATCTTTTAAATGGTTTCAGTTCTAAACGAGAAACAAAGGAAGAGAAAGGTTGAGGGTCCTGTCCATGAGCCAGGGTCTCCTTGCCTGACCTTTGTCTCTCGTAGCTATAACTCATTGTAGATATGAACAATCAGCGGAAATACCTTAAAATAATTTCCATCCTCCTGGTGTGGCCTCCGGTCTCATCGGTTGGCTAGCTCTCCCAGAACTGCTCCATGAGTGCTGAAAACTGCAACCCGCTCTCAGAGTGCTCTCGGAGAAGGGGAAGGAGAAGGAGGAGGTGGGTGTGTGGGGGTGGGGGGAGAAAGCTCTCGCTCTGTAGAGAATCTAGAAAACGTAATCACAGGCAAAGACTGCCTGGGTCTCCGCTCCAAATGCCACAATAATGTGCTGTATTATGTGTTCACGTGGTCATACGTCAACTTAAATCCTTTTATTTGAAATAGGGAATCACAGAAGGAACCAGGTTGGCTTTGTGGGAGGGGAAGTGGGGGACCCTGTCCAGTAGTCTCTAAGAGTTACGAGTAGTAGGATGCTGGGGGCAACACCCCCACACATATTTGTGCCACACAAGGCTGCCTGTATTTTTTTACATGCACCAAAGCGCAAGGAGAGAGCAGCTGGCCATGTTAGACTCTGCAGTACTTGACTTTCTCAACCCTGGCTTCTCATCCATGGACAGGCTGACTCCAACACACCCAGGTCCCCTAGTTGCCTCTGGCCCAGAGGCCAGAGTGTCAAAAGGCAAGAGCCAAGTCCACAAATGACTGGCCTGGTCAGCAGACTTCCTCATAGCCTGCCATTGTATGGAGTTAGCTAACACCCATGCAATATACCATAGCCACTGGAGAACCCAAAAAGGCCTGTAATTATCTGACAAACTGTTAACTCAGCTCCTCTGAGTCCAGTTACTTTGCTCAGTGGGAACCCACTAGCCAAGGTATGCTTGGATATAGAGTGGCAGGCCAGAGCTTAATAAAATCTGGAGGGACCTAATGCCCTAGCCAAGCCTATGTTCATTGTCTCAATATATAGCTGAGTGATACATGAAATTATAGGTTTCTAAAGATGAAAAATGTAAAGGGAAATTATATAAGAGGGAACAAAAAGTACCAACATTCTCTGATGTCCCTTGTGCTAACCTATAAGAAAACCTAGGAAGGTTCCTCTCAGCAGGTGGGTGTGTCTGCTTGCCCTTAAGGCAACTCTAAATCTACAGCAGAAACTCAACTGAACCAATCTTGCTCAGGAAGAAACTGGCTAAAACAAACACCTCACACCCCCCTAGCCTTACCTTCTGCTTGGTGACATTGCACACTCATTTCTTTCACCAGCTGCCTAAAAAGTTTCCCCTTTCCAGTATTATTTTCTGAATTTTGAGTGCTCTAAGGCCAGTGGCCTCCTCATGTCATACCTCATGCCTATCTTTTTGTTCCTTGAAAGTGCATTTTCAGCTTCCTATGTCTAATATGAGGCTCTCACAGTAGCATCTGCAGGGTTCTGTGGATGGTTCTTCCCCCTTTCTCCTCCCTCAAGGAAAACAGAAGGTTTGATGCAAAGCTAAAACCCCAAGTAAGGAGGCCTGGATCTAATGTGGGGGTACCCAATACAGAAGGGCAATAAAAAAGAACACAACCTCTTGGAAGCAAGAGCTGGACTAGGTTGGTGGTAGTATTTCCATAATGTTCTGCCTGTAAGTAGTTGAAAGCAGACCTCTATGTGAACTTTCCCAGCTGAGGTCTAAGCCAGAAGTTACAGAGTGGGACCTGAGATAACAATTTGATCTCTCTGCACTGGAAGATGAGGAACAGGGCCAGGGGCTGGTTTCCAAAATGCAATTCTCTTTTCCTCAGGGATTCAGTGTACTTCTCTCCCCTCCCAAATCATTCATGCTGTACTTTCCAGATACCCTAAAGAATGACTTGAAAGGGAAGTATTCCTCAACTTTTAACAACTACCTACCCCTCCAAGTTTCTACAAAGGCATCACTATGAGATAGCAAGAGTCCCCTTTCAGAGTTCTCAGAACACTTTTGAGAAAATCAAAACTCTTCAGGCCATTAATCAGTAGTAGAAGTCACTGGACCTGCTTCAGACAAATGCCTTAATGCCAGCAAGGCCCAGAGGCATCCTAACTCCAGGCTGGGGCCTCCATGCCTCCAACATCTCAGTTAATGCTCCAACTGCTGTTTAACAATTAACATTAAAGGCTTGGGATGGAATGGAATGGGGTGATTCTGTGAAATGAGAAGGGAAAAATCTGAGGAAGGCAAAGGAACTCTTAACTTTTGAGGTGAAAAACAGCTTCCCTGAGAATAATCTTGGGCAGCAGAACTCACGTTGAGAGTCTTCCTTCACCATTCTGAATTTCACTTTCTTGAAGCAAAGCTATGGACCTTTTTAAAAACCCAGTGGCCAGACACCCTTCAGTCACTCTAGCCTCTAGCCTGGCCAGGACTGGAAACTTCATGCTGTTGTCCAGGCCTCCAGAGCCAACACAGAGGGAAAGTTGGCTTGGAAGGAGTAGGCATCCAGGCTTATAGACTGTGAGTCAATATTTGCAAGGCTGTTGGCAGATTAGATATATCTGTATTCTAACAATGCAATCTGATTTCCCTATCAAAACTACACTTAACATTTTTATTAACTCTAGTGGTTTCTCTATCCAGCCTCAGGTAAGGCTCTCTTAGCTCACTCTGTGTGTGTATGTATGTGTGTGCGTGCATGCGTGCATGTGTGTGTGTGTGTAATGATAGATCATATTTACCATGAGATATTTCCTGTGAGTGGGACTGCAGTACAAATGGGCCCCAAGTTCTCTGGACACATGTGATTGTGCATATCACATTATAACCATGGCCCTGAGCGCCTGCTGCTACTTATACCTGTAAATTGTTCTGTCATTTGCAGAGATGCAAATCATGTGTACACATGGTATTGTAAGTTCCTGAAATATATCTATATTTTATATATATCTATGAAAGATATAGAAATATATCTATGTTTATATCAAATATCTATATTTGATATAAACAGACATACAGTAGCTGAGAAAATAACCTGGTTACTATTACTCTATTTACTTCCTATCTGATAAAATAATAATTGTACCCAGAACACCATACCAGCCTTAAAGCATCACTGAGTGGCATGTTTACAATTAATTAACAACTTGATTTCTATCTGGAGAGCAAATTTCAGGAAAGACTCAGGCCCAGGGAACACAAACCAAAATCTCAAAAATTTAAAAAAAAAAACCAAAAATTTTTAAAAGCAATATTTCTCAGGGCTCAGAAGCACAGCCCTTGCCTGGCAAGCACAAAGTCCTGAGTTCTATTCCTGGTACAAAAAAAAAAAAAAAAGACAGCAATGTTTCCCTAAAGAACAGAGCAAACTCATTCTTTTATACCAAGCTTCTTATCCTAACAGCCCCTCCCCCAAATGGGTAAGTAATTTATGGATCTTTTACAAGGTAATAAACCACAGTAATTACCTCCCTGTATCCCAAACTAAGAGAACAAATTATGCCACAACTTTAAAAGAATTTTAAAGAGTTTTCTCTTATTCCAAACAGGAAAGAAAGATGTGGAGGCAGAAGACTGGATCTTTTCCCATAGGAAGAACTGTGATCAGCCCTGTTGAAGGACTGCAGAGGGCCCGCTACTTGTGAAGGCCTACCCATAGCAAATGTAGGAACTTCTCTCCTGCCACAGACAGGCAAAAGAATCAGAGAAATCAAAAGGCACAAGGCTATGAGGCAAGTTTCCTCCACCAAATATCAAGATTGGTGACAATTTCCGAAGTAGCAGATGCCTCATTGGACAAGCAGCTCAGCCCACGAAGCAGCCACCACACTCACCCATGGCCTCTACTTGCTTTTGCTTTGCAGTTCCGTGCAGTGGTTTGTTTGGGACTTGCAGGAAAAAAATTAATACATCCCCTCTGCCTCCCCTAACCCCATCTTTGGCTTCACAACCGCTAACCTCCTGCTTTTCTCCTGCTCATTACAGGCTTTGGGGAAGACTCTTTTGTCTGCCTGAAGCCCTGCATTGTTGGGCGTGCAGCTGAAGGTAACCCAGCTCCAAAACTCCTCTGAAGTTAAATATTGACCAGAACCTCTTTCAACCTGCTGTAGTTGCCAGAGGCTGGGTAGTGCAAACTCTTCCTAACTGCCTGGTGCAAAGTCTGTTGTGAAGAGCTCTGGCGCATTGCTTACCTCCAAAAATGTTTAAATCTGGACCAGGAATTGCTTCCAGCTCCAGGAGCTCAGGGAACCGTCTTTTCCTGTGTCCAGGCACTCTGCAGACAAATAAACAGCAAAGGATGAACAGTGGCTGCAAGATAAGGGAGTTCTCAACTCTGGAGGACCAGAGTTGAGAAGGTGGCCTGTGAGGGCAACAGGATGGCCTTGGGGTGATGTGGACACGGAGGAGTCGCCAGGGCACTCGTCCATGCAATGGCACTCATAGCTCGAAATGTTCCAGTCTACAAATGACCTGAAGATGGTGATTTATTTTTGTAAAATAAATACATACTCCATCTCCACACCCACACTCTCTACTTTTTTTTTTCTTTTATAGAAGAGGAGGGAAAAAATGGACTAGATGGAGAAGGAAGATAGAAAGAGGTAGAAAAGGCTTTGCTGGTGGGGCCAAGTCAGCTGGGAGAGCTCCTCTCGCACCACAACTTGGGGAATGTGAATGCATGCTTTATTTTCTTTTGCTAACAAAGGGAAGCCTTGTCTGGAAGCATTCAATCTGGACTCTCCCGAAACCTACTCACTAATAGCGTTCATTTCTGTTGGCGCGAAATCAGGCTCAGGCTCAGTCCACAGACCAGAGGCAGTCTTGGGAGGTTTTGTCCTCTGGTTCATTCAAGTGCTGGGCGGCCACTGGATGCTGCAGGGCTGGCAGACCAGCTACTGCTGCTGGATACTGGGCAAGACGAAGGCAGGTCGCTGAACAATACTCAATCGGGGCCCTGCTCAGCAGTCAGAAATCCACAAAACGACTGTATTCTCACACCTCACAATATTTGCAACAGTCTCTTGAGCTCTAACCAGGAAATCTGATTCTGGAACTCTAAGCCAACTTTTTGGGGCAGAAGACACTGGGAAAGGAACAGCGAATCCACTGGTGAGTTCTGCTGAAACTCTATGGGGCATTGTTTTCACAGCCCTAACCCTGAAGCCACCAGAGCTTTGCCCAGACCTACAACACCTCCCAGATTCTGAGCTGCTGCAAAACAGCCCTCTTCTGCCTTTCCTGCATCCATGAGAGAGGGGCTACCAGAGAGCTGACAGGTCCTCTGACTCCTGGCATGCTGAGCAAATGACACAAACTGACAACTGCCTCTGCCACAACTCTGCCCGCAGCCTTTAACTTCCATCCCTGCTGGGGACTCAAGAGTCCACGCTGGGCTCTTTTCCCTTCTTCAGACTTGCCCTCCGCACCTTGAAGGGGAGACCCTCCAGCCTTGGGGCAGCTGGAACGACCCCAGCTGAAGGGTGGAGGGCTTAGACATTCTGCACTGTTTTGCTCAATTTCGCCCCCAGAAAGATCCACTCTGCCACCATCCACTGCCACCGCCACTACCACCACCATCCCCTCGAGTCAGGCTTAGTATTGTAATTATTATGGTTGTTATTATTGTCGCGATTTCCTTATCCCCAAGTCTAATATTCATGGTTGCCGTTCCCCATAAATCCTTCAAACTAATGAGTCAAAGAGAGAAAGAGATGCTGCCAGGTCTCTAGCTCTGCAATGGCCGCCGCCGCGCCGCCGTGGCCTCGCTCCGCGTTTTTGGCGTCTGCTTGCTCCCTCGCTCGCCCGGCGCAGTTGATTTATGAAAGCCTGGAAAATTGAACAAAGCCGCGCGCCCGTCCTGTGGTATCTCTGCAGCCTTCCTCAGCGTGAATCAGAACATTACCAACTGTCTGCGCATCCGTCCCACTTCATCACCAAAGCCAGGATGTGACCACAGGGAGAAAAAAAAAAAAAAAAAAGAGCCCAAACTCACGTTTCCCCGGACGCAGCGCGTTCCCTGGACTCGCAGGAACCCTGCAGAAAAGCACCAGGACCCAGCTAGAGCACACCAGCTCTGGTTCTCTTCGCTAAAGGGCTCCCTCCTGCCTTCCTGAAGGAGTTAAAAGCCTTTGAAGATAAATCTGAGGATGCGTGTATTTAAAAATCAAAAAGGAAGTTGGAGTCTCACTTCTGAGAGATTCATTCCTAGTGAGGCCCTGACGACTCCGATCCATTCCAGACGATCTGCATTAATTATTTAATGAGTCACGTGACCTCAAAGATTACAATTTCAATATCTCCCTCGAACAGGCGTTACACCTTTATCAGCTGCAAACAGGGTCCCCGTTTGGTTTTTCTGTTCCCTAGGCCTCCTGAGCGCGTTCACCTTCAAGCTGATGGGGCAAGGAACCCCCAAAGAAATTACAGGGAGAACACAGCAGACTTAGTCATCCTGGATGAGAAGCACTGTGAACAGCAGGGAGCCCACTGCACTCCAAGGCACTTTGATATCCCTGGGCTCCTGAGACCAGTTATCAGCCACCTGTCTGAGTGCCAAGGCTAGGGCAATTTGGTTGCATAATCTCCCAAGGCAACTTCATGATACATCAGGCAAACTCTTATCTTCTAAATCCAGGCTACATACACCTGTAGCAATGCACATCTGGGTAACCCCAGGTCATATTCTTTTAGAAGAATAGCTTCTGTTGGGGAAGAAATCATGTGTGCTTATTATATCCATGTCCATGGTGAGACCAAAGGCTCTTTTCAGACTACACACTCATTAGCAAGAGCAGGTGAACTATTCAGCTGCCTCACTTTCCTCATAGGTAAACTGAGAAGATCGAACCCAAATGACTTCCAGGTCTCTTTCAGTGTGGAGTCTTTCAATCTGGCTTTTTCTGTTCTAGGACGCATGTCTAGAGAGAAGGAGGCTGGCCTGAAAGGGGACAGGGCATATTCCATGAACGTGGAGCTTTCAGAAGAGATGCCAGAGTTCCCAGCCAGAAGTTGCAGACTAGAAATTTTTATGACTTGATCCTATCAAGGAGACAGAACACAACTTCTCTTACTTTTCCTCCCCCTCCTCCCTCCATTGTTTCCGGAGCTTGTCCTTCTGTGTGTGTCCAAAGCAGTTACTGTTGGAGCAGTGTATTGTGGAGAACAGGTATCAGGAGCCTCTGTTGGGAAAGGTGAGCTTGAGTTCTTCAAAATAAGATGGTGCCTAGGAGTGCAGAGACCAAGAAGGTGCCAGAGATGCCCTGTTGCTTGTGCAGAACCCACTCATGCAACCGGGAAGCCTCTGGTTTCCATTTGATTCATTTATTCTTTGGGAATTCTTCTTTTATTTTAGGCAGTTGCTGATCTAATTCTATACTGACACTGCTAGAAGGAAGGCAGCAATGAGAAGAGTAGCACAGTTTGGAAGTTGGGGGGACTGGGGGCTGCTCAGGAGATACTGCGATTCCCAGACTATGGGGAGACGGGTGAGAAGCTGGGGAATGGGGCACCCTGGGACAGCTGGATATAAAGACAGACACTGTGCAGCAGGCCTACCCCTATATATCTAGGTAATCTTCTCATGAGTTCCATCCTGGGTATTAAGTACTCTGCTATGCCTGTCACAGTTGAATTCCTGCTGTAATAAAACACTGGGTATATCGTAGATTTCAGCAAAACTAGGGAAGAAAGCCTGCAAAGTGCCATTTTTCTTCATGGGGGAGAGTGTTAAGTACTTAATTCAGACTGTAACCATTAAAGTGTCTCCTATCCGATTTAGGTTGATTTCAGATGTTGACAAAACTTTTATCTCCAGAGTCATGCACAGCTTGGCTCTGTGACTAAAGCAGATGAGTGTGTATTAAAGAGAGGGAGGGATAAAGAGGGAGAAAGCAGACCATGTACAAGGGTCATCTTAGTACGAGAAATATAGAGTTTACACAAAATACTGTCTTTAAAGGTCAAGGGTTTGAGGGGTTAGTAAGGTTTGCCTTAAAAAAAAAAAAAACTAATGAGATAGAAAATTTGTCCTCTCAGTGAACTCTTATGGTTGCCCTAGCGAAGGACAGACAATGCACGATTTTGAAGCACAGAGTGAGATTTCCTAAGCTGTTATCACAAGCTCCTTTAAAGGTAAAATCTGAGACAAACATTGTGAAAAGAATGACAATGATTTGGATCACTTTTGATAATTTTGGTTTCTAAAGCTCACCAATATCTTAATGTACATTTTGAACAAAAATGTCACTTTATTCTAGAATATCTCAAAAATGGTCTTGATCCCCCCTTCCTTTTCTGGATAGCCTATAAGAGCAAGAAAAGAAATCACCCCCTTTACCTTCATACTACTGCCTCCAGCATGAATGTCCCCATACCCTTCCTTCCCCACAAAGGAGAAATATAAGAATTTACCTTAAATGATGATAATCTGCCATTTGAGGTTTTGCAGCTTGACACTCAATTTCCACCAAGAGTCTAGGTTTTTGTTTTTAGAGCTCTTAGCCAAGATGCTATGCCTTTGCCTGAGACATTATTTGGCAAGAAGATCCCTCTCTCCTTCACAGACTTTTCCCAGAGAATGTCTTTCAGAATTGCTGTTGAATTACAAAGAAGTATTTATTGTACGAGGTGATTAATGATTCCTGGGAAAATTGCTATTTTCAGCATGATTTAATTTCGTTTTACAAGTGCGTGCATAGGGGGAGGGTTAATAAGTTTCAGCAGCACTTGCATTGCCTCCAGAAATGCCTGGCACCCGTTCACACCTTGTAAAATGCATTTTATGCCAGTTTTTGCCTGACTTGAGGGTGTGTGTGTATGTGTGTGTGTGTGTGTGTGTATTTCTTTGCTTCTGGATTTTCTTGGCCCTTTGCATTGGCACCCACTGCTTCTCTCTCAAATTTGGTGATAGGTAAAGAACTGGTCACCTTTGCTTGTATCACATGCAGTACAGCAGGGTTGAAAGGGCTATCATCAGTGACACTGGCTAAGCATTTTTCCATGATGGAAAAATGGGTTTTAAATTCATAATATCGTAGAGTTACGTGAACACACCTCACTTCCATTAAAATTTCTACTGGCCTAAAAAAGTGCATTTTTTCAAGGCAGATTGACAATTTTACTATCCAAGGGTTAGTATTCTTTTTCTGCATCATGTTGCAGTGCCTTAAGCACTAATTCTCTGCTGTAAGCACCAAGGTTAAATCAGTATAAAAATACTAGAGTTATGGTAATTCAGAATTGAGTTATTTTTAATCATGTGAATCTAGATTTCCAGAAGTAAGATTCAAAGCATTTAAGAAAAGTGACCATAACTCAGTTTGGCTTTCTTACAGCAGTAAACTCTTCCAGGTCTACTTTGCTTGAGGTGTGTTTTGGGTGTCATTGTGCTTTTTTATTTCCTCAAAAGGTATTTTGGAGGATGTACTAAGAGAATATATTTTACTTAGGAAGTTATTATTTAAAAGGAGAGAGAGAGAGAGAGAAATAAGCAAACACACAAAATTTCCCAAGCTGTACTTAGTGAAGAGGCCCACAAGATCAGCCAAAAAACAAAAAGCAGTCTCAACCCTTTGCACAAACTATTTTTTATCTCCAGGGAAACTGGTAGATTAAGTGTGAAGGTGCAACAAATACCAAAGAGACCATTTCTTTCCAAGTGTGCTCAGAGTTCAGTGTGGTGAACAGCTGCAGAAACTCCTGGGCCCACTGCACTATAGGGTTTCACCTTTCACTGCAGAGAAGGACACGTTCCTATGCCTTACAGAGACTTGAAGCCTGAAAGCCTGGCCAAGTTTGGGAAGAAGAGGAGCCCTCTCAGAGCTCAAGAGCCTCCTTGCTCTTTGGAACATTTCCACACTGGGTCAAGCTTGACAAGAGTTCAGCTCAAGTTGAACACACACACTCTAGCACAAATTATGTGCGCAGTCAGAATCCATGTGAACACAGCTCAACCATTTATAAGGTTTTCTACATGCAAAGTCAGAAATCCAGAGGAATTGTTTGTTTAAGATTTTGTTTTTTTAATGAAAAGCTTAGGAAACACACACATCTGTCTCTTAGATTTTTAATACTTTTTAAAATGAAGTTTATTCTTAGCACATGGCTTTCTATACAGCCATATCACAATTTGTACAGTTGCACATGGGTCTAAATGCATCCCCCTCTTCCCAGAGATAGTTCCCCAGAGTACGACAACAATATCTCAATAACAATATCTTAAATAAATGCAAGAAAGGGAAACTAACAGTCACACCTACCATGAGTCTATGCATTTTGGGAATTAAATAATCTTGTGAGGTCCACAGTATCTACTCATTTATTCAGTTCATTACAACCTTGTATGAGCTGCCTTAATGGATGAGGGAAAAGATAAAGAAGGTGGGGAAGGGTCTGTTTTATTCGGCTTGCACAAATATACGCGTCCCCAGTCAGCGTGCACTGTCCAGCTGACTTCAGACATCTCAAAGGTATCTGGTGCCAAGTGGTCCTTCCCAGGTATCCAAACTTGGCAGCCTTCTTCAGTCCAGCAGATTGTTCCACCAAACAGCATCCTCAACAATTGTCCTCTCTGGCATGGCAACCAGCTCATTCTCTTACCGGGGATAATGTCTTCCTTTTGGTTATCCTTTTCACCAAGCTGGGTTTTATTTTGGTGTCTGTTACAATACAGAGACAGGGGGAGGAGTAGAAGGGGGAAAGTGTAGGAGAACAGAAAGGCAGGTAAGGGAGGGAAACTGAACTAGGTGTCTAGAAGATTACATGGAGGAAGGGATGGGGGTGGAGGCACCAGGGAGGGAGTGCGGATGGGGGTGCGGGCTCTGAGTTTGTGCTTTCCCTGGCGGGCCTGAAGAGGCCTGGGTGGAGGCTGGGTTGGAGGATCGCATCTTGGTGTTGGGCAGTTTGTGATCTTTCTTCCACTTCATTCTCCGGTTCTGAAACCAGATCTTGACCTGGCGTTCAGACAAGCAGAGCGTGTGGGCGATCTCTATGCGACGCCGCCGGGTCAGGTATCGGTTAAAATGGAACTCCTTCTCCAGCTCCAAGACTTGCTGCCGGGTGTAGGCTGTTCGGGAGCGCTTGGGCTCCCCTCCGTTATAACTGGGGTTCACTGAGCGCCCAGAACCCAAAGGAGAAGGCCAAGGAGGGGGAAGTGGAAGAGAGGGAAAGGAGGAGGAGAGAGAAGATAGGGTGGGGAAGAGCAATTGGACATCATCATTATATAATAAGCTGACACCAAGTTCACGCAAGATACATAAAACCGCAAAGAAAATGTTTCACAGGCTATTGACAACGGGAAACACCCGAGAGCCATAAAGAACGGTGCTGGGCATTGGGGCTGAAGAAAAGCTTCAAAGACACATGGCCCGAAGCCTCTGCCAGGGCAATTAAATTTATGGGGGCTATAATTACTGCCCTAACAGTTTGGCGTCTCGTAAATCTCACGATAAAGGGACCATGGGTACAAAAGGGCTCTCAAGTTGGGATCAGGCTACTGGCTGGCTGGCGCACAGGCACCCGCACCCCACCGCAGCCCGAGCCAGATGGGGGTTCCCCTTCCGAGGCCCCCTCCCGACCCCCGCCCTGACCCTGAACCCAGGCCTGGCCCCAGCCCACCCCCCCACCCTCCCGCGCCTGCCGGCGGCGCCACGTACCGGCGCTGACATGGATCTTCTTCATCCAGGGGTACACCACGGGCTCCTTGCCCTTCAGGCCCGGCGGGCTCTTGTCCGCCAGCAGCAGCGGGCACGCGGGGGCGCTGCCCCCTGCCGGGACGCCCGGGGTGGCGGGGGCCGCCTCGCAGCGCCTCGAGGGC